TGTTGAAAAGACTAGTTTTTTACCCATTGAATTTTCTTTGCGCTCTTGTCATAATTCAATTGCCCATAAAATGTAAGGGTTTGTTTCTGGACTCGGTGCTATTCTGTTGACCTGTATGTCTATCCTTATGCCAAAGCCACACTGCTTGATTATCATAGCTTTATATGAAGTTCTCAAATGTGGAAGTGTAAATCCTCCAGCTTTGTTTATTTTTTTCCCCAAGATTATTTTGGTTATTCTGGGTCCCTTGCATTTCTATATGAATTTTAGGATTACCTTGTCAATTTCTGCAAAGAAACCAGCTGGAATTTTGATAGGGGTTGCACTAAATCTTTAGAACAATTTGAGGAGTATAGCCATCTCAACAATATCAAGTCTGATCTATGAGCATGGGATGTTTCCCCATTTATTTAGGTCTTTTTAAATTCCTTTTAACAATGTTTTGTAGTTTTCATAGTATGTTATGCACTTTTCTTATTAAATTTATTCCTGTTTATTCTATCTGATGCTATTGTAAATGGAAATTTTTCCTTAATTTTATTTTTCTATGTTCATTACAAGTGCATAGAAATACAATTGAGTTTTGTGTATTAATCTGGTATCCTGCCACCTTGGTGAACTCATTTATTTATTTATTTATTTTTCGTGAGGAAGATTGGCCATGATATCTGTTGCCAATTTTCTTCTTTTTGCTTGAGAAAGATTGTCCCCGAGCTAACATCCATGCCAATCTTCCTCTATTTTGTATGTGGGACACTGCTCCAGAATGGCTTGATGAGCAGTGGGTAGGTCCACACCTGGGATCCCAACCTGTGAACCCCGGGCCACTGAAGCCGAGTGCTTGAACTTAACCACTACGCCACTGGGCAAGCCCCTAACGTTTACTAACTCTCATAGTTTTGTAGTGTATTCCTTAGGATTTCCTTTTTGTTCATTTCATTTGAGTCATCTAATTTGATGTCTATATGAGTTTGCTAGGGCTGCTCTAACCAAATACCATAGACTAAGTGGCTTAAACAGCAGAAATTTATTTTCTCACAGTTCTGAAGGCTGCAAGTCCAAGATCAAAGTGCAGTAGAGTTGGTTTTCCCTGAGTCCTTCTTCCCTGGGTTGCAGATAGCAGCCTTCTTTATACCCTCACATGGCCTTTCCTCTCTGCATGTGCATCCCTAGTGTCTTTTTCTCTTCTTATATGGAAATCAGTCATATTAAATTAAGGCCCCACCCTTATGACCCCATTTAACCTTAATTACCTCTTTAAAGATCCTATCTCCAAATACTGTCACATTTCTAAGGTACTAGGTTTTAGGGCTTCAACATATGAATTTTGTGTGGGAGGGGGGACACACAATTCAGTCCATAGCAGGGATACAGTTGTTCATAATATTCCTTTATAATTCTTTTGATTTCTGTAAGGTTGATAGTGATGCCCTCTTTTTCATTTTTGATGTTAGTAATTTGCATCTTTTCTCTTTTTTTCTTGGTCAATCTAGATAACAGTTTGTCAATTTTGTTGATTTACTCAAAGAACAAGCTTTTGGTTTGTTGATTTTTCACTATTGTTTCTCTATTCCCTACTTCATTCATTTCTGTTTTAGTTTTTATTATTTCCTTTCTTCTGCTTACTTTGGGTTTAGTGTGCTTTTTTTTTTTCTACTTTCTTAAGGTGGAAGGTTAGGTAATTTATTTGAGATCTTTCTTCTTTTTTAATATAGATATTTACAGCCATAAATTTCTCTCTAAGCACTTCTTTAATGGCATCTCATAAGTTTTCATATGTTGATTTTCATTTTTATTTGTCTTAAAGTGATATCTAATTTCCCTTGTGATTTCTTCTTTGATCCATTACTTATTTAGGAGTGTGTTGTTTCATTTCCACAGATTTGTGGATTTCTCAGATTTCTTCTGTTATTGGTTGTTATTTGATTCCACTAAGGTCAGAGAATGTATTTTGCATGATTTCAATTCTTTAAATTTATTGAAGCTTGTCTTATCACCTATCCTGGAAAATGTTCCCTGTGCACTTGAAAAGAATGTATATTCTGCTTCCATTGGGGAATGTTCTATTGATATCAAGTAGGTCTAGTTTGTTTATAGTGTTGTTCATGTCTTCTGTTTCTCTGTTGATCATCTCACTAGTTATTCTATCCATTATTGAAAGCAGAGCATTGAAGCTTCCAACAATTATTGTTGAATTGCATATTTCTCCCTTCAATTTTGTTCTTGCTTCATTAATTTGGGGCTCTGTTGCTAGGTGCATATATGTTTATAATTGTTATGTTTTCCTGGTGGATCAACCCTTTTATCATTATAAAATGTCCTCCTTTATCTCTAGCAATAGTTTTTGTCTTAAAGTCTATTTTTTATGATGTTAGTATGGCCATTTCAGCTCTCTTCTGGGTATGGTTTGCATGGTTATAGTGTGTTTTGCCATACAGAATTTTTAAACTTTTATGTAACTGAATATATCAGTCTTTTTTTATGGCTTCCACATTTTGAACAATAGTTTGATCTTTTCCATTTCAAGGTGATAATTAACTCTCCCATGGTTTCTTCTATTATTTCTATATCTTTAGTTTTTATGTTTATATTTTTTATCCATTTGATTTTATTTTATACTTGGTATAAGATATGGGTCCAGCTTAATTTTTTTCTTATACATCCAATTGCCTCAACACACTTTATTAAATAGTTCATCTTCATTGCTGCTTTGAACTGCTACCTTTATCTTATACTAAGTTCTCATGTGTATTTGCATTTACTTCTTACTGTCTTTTTTGTTCCATTGTTCTGTTTTTCTACTAATACACCAAGACCATAGTATTTTGTTGACTGAGGTTTTGTAATGTCTTATATCATCAGGCTAGCCTCCCCTCATTTCTCTTATTTTTCAGAATGTTTCCAGCTATTCTTGTGTGTTTATTTTTTTCCTATCAACATTACATCAATTTGCCTACTTAAAACATTCAAATAATTCTAATAGTAGTTCTAATAATATCTACACCTGTTGATATTTTCCTAGGATCATATTAAATTTATAAATTAACTTAGATTGGCATTTTTTTGGCAAGAAATATTCCTAGTCAGAAACGTGGCATGTCTTGACATTTGTTCAGATCTATTTTCATGATTTTCAGAAGTATTTTTTTTAATTTTTAAAAATCTTTAATATGAAAATTTTAAATACATATAAAAAGAAAGAGAATATAATGTAATAAACCACTACCATAGACCTATCACCCAACCTCAGTAATTATGAACACAGGGCTAATATTTAGTCTTACCACTTCTCTCTTTCCCTCCTTCAATATTTTAAAACAAATCCCAAACATTATATTAAAGAAATATTGTAAAGTTTTCTTGATATAGGTGTGTACATTTCTTATTAAGGTTATTCCTAGGCATCTGATCTAGCTAATGGTTGTTGTTCATATTTATGAAAGTTTATTTCTGTACATTAATTTTGTACCCTTTCATTATTTTAAAAATATTGGTCTGTGCTGTTGGAATTCATTGATTTGAAAAAATAAGGCGAACCACAACCCTTCATAATTCATCAACCACATTTCATCTATATGTTTAGCTGAGCTGTTAGAAATATGCTAAAACTGTAGGTATAAATTAGAGTCGTAAGCTATTAGTCTTGTTCCAAATGATATGCTTGTGGCCTGAAACATAGCTTACCTGGGACTCCTATCCCATAAGGCTGTCTTTTAAAACCTGACACACTTGGGCTGACTTCAGTTTCCTGCAACTTTATAATGTTGGATGTGCACTTGCCAGCTTCTGTTCTTCCTGTGGACCTTAAAATCACTCCCTGGTGGTAAACCAGGCCCCATAAAGGCACATTAACCCTTCTAAGCTAGTAGGGGACCATTTTAGTCTTTTGAGTTCTTATGAGTAGCACTGATCAGATGTATCAGGAATCAAGTTGTAGTATGAATGCTAATTTTTTAAATAATTTTTTCATGTAGCACCATCAGTGTCCTGCTCGTTAGAGCACTTTGTTTTTCAAATTGTCAGAGAGTTTTAACAGTCCCTTTGGAGTTTTTGGGGGGTTTTTTAAATCTTTAATTTTTTCCTTTTTCTCCTAAAGTCCCCCAGTACATAGTTGTGTACTTTTGGTTGTGGGTCCTTCCAGTTGTGGCATGTGGGATGCCGCCTCAGCATGGCCTGATGAGTGGTGCCATGTCTGCGCCCAGGATTCAAACCGGCGAAACCCTGGGCCAGCGGAGCAGAGCGTGCGAACTTCACTGCTTGGCCACAGGGCCGGCCCCTAACAGTCTCTTTGGATGCTTTCCTGTGTTAATTGATTAAGCTCTTCTCTTGGAGTAGAGTCAGGGATTTAGAGTCTATACGCGTTTTCAAAAACTCTAGTTGGCTTGAGTCTTTATCCCCTTAGCCTGGGTCTGAAATGGCCTATAGTTTTTCCGGACTGAATTATTTTCTGAGTCCAAATAGGGACTTTCTTTTGGATGTACCTGGTATTACATAGGTAAATTAATTCTAGTTTATTCAGAAAATTAAAGCAACTTTCCTTCAGAGAAAAGTGCTTTCTCCTAGATCACAGTGACTTAGTTTGTACGATACTTTTTAAATGACAAACCAATCTGGATAAAGATAAATATATCTTGTTAAAATATGGCTTTGAGGGGAACTGTGGAGACAGTTTTAATATGGTGCATAATGATACCCTTGATGCCAGGTCATCTGACTATCACCAAGTTAAGTGACTGCTACTTCATTGAGTTCTTATAGGGATTAAGTGAATTAATATGTTTAAAGTGCTTAAAATAGCACCCAGCACATGAAACTTATAGTGAGTGATTGTTAAATACGTAAAAGAAAATAAAACCTGAATACAAAGAAACTGAGTTTCCTGAACAAGGAAAAAACTGAAATTCTACAATCTACTTTTTCTCACCTCACTCTTGTTGAATTAATGTCCTTCCTACATATATAAATAGTTGCTAATTTGAACAACCTCTTTCATTTTAAAGATTCGCCGATTCTCAGTCCAGCTAATTCTGCGATCAATTTAAGTGGAGCTCAGGACCTGACCCGGAATAAGAATGTTGTGAAGCCACTGGCTTTATCTTTGCAGGTTGTAGGGAAGACTTTTGCTGCAGGTGATGTTTTCCTCACTTATCTTTCTTTGGTAAATACATAGTCTATAGAAGATTTGTGTGAAATTTAAGTGATAAGTTGGCAGAAGAAAAGAAAAGATGCTTCTTCGCCAATTGAAGACAGAAGTGGGGCTTTTATAATAATGTATTATTATATAAAGCTTTGTTTTCCCTATGTTCCAACCAGAAGAGTCAAAGAATGTCATTTGGCACACGCAGGAGACAGCACGTTGAGTCCATTCAACAAACATTTTTTGGATACCTGTTACGATGAGGAACTGGGGAAGCAAAGACAAATACGGCTCAACCCCTGACCTCTAATGTACTTGTAACCTAGTAGGGGAGATAGACCTGTAAGAAGATATTTTCAGTGTACTACAGTAAATACAGCCATATGACTAATATGACTAACAAGAATGAGTTCTTGGAGGAGCTTGGTCTTGAACTGTGAGGACATATTCATCATACAAAGGAGTGGGGGAAGATATTTCAAATTGAGAGAAAAGCAGGGGCTCAGCTTGAAAGGAAAAGGGAAGGAAAGAAGCAGTGTGATATGTGCAGGAACTTCCAGCTGTTTGGACTCGTTAGAACCATACAAGGTAAAACTCAGGGAGTGGCAGAAGGGGAGCAAGTGTTGGACAAGGGAAATGTCATGGGAGACCAGGCTAAGAAGCATGGATTTTACTCTATAACCTGTGGAACAGAGGAGTGGCATGGTCTGATTTGAACTTGAGCTAGATCATTTTGGCAGCAAAAAAAAATAAAAAATAAAAAATAAGAGGTAAGAAAACTAGTTGGAGGTCATTTCAGTAGTCTAAGTGGGAAATGACGAGGTCCTTGGCCAGGGTAATAATAGGTTAGAGGGGGAGAGACAGATTGGAGAACTACTTAGGAAGTAAAAGTAGCAGAACTTGACTGATTAATGTGAGCATGAAGCAGAAGAAGGAGTCTTGGCTTACATCCATCTTTCTGGGCTAATGGTGGTGCCACTACTTCAGACAGAGAATATAGAAGGAGGAGCAGCTTCCCCAGGAGGAGATTGTGAGTTCGATTTTGAACATGTCAAGTTTGAGATACACATAAGACAACCAAGTGAAGCTGCTCAACAGTCATTTAATTTATCACAGGGGGAAGTCAGGACTGATGGTATAGAGTTGAGCCACCAACATGTGGTTAAAATCACCAAGGTAAATAGTATCAGCCAAGGAGAAATGTAGGGTAAGGCAAGCTGTGAACTATGGATAGAATCTTAGGAAATTCCAGTGTTTAAGGAAAAGAAATAGAGAGGTAGAAGAAAAATAAGGAGAAAGGGAGCCTATCATTCTTGGAAACTTTCCAACAGTTAGGCATCATAATTTATCCAGACCACTTTTGTTTTTACCCTGGTCCAGCAATTCTTGCAGGATCTACCTTCTGATTAGATTACAGACCTGGACAAACTGAATCCAAATTTTTACAGCATTAAAAAAATTAGTGAAATTATGGGTGTAGGCAGTAATCATCCTGGTTGCTAAAACCATGAGATGAATGGATGATGAACAACTTTATAATTAGAGGACTAGGCTAACAACTCTTGAACCCACTGATCAATATTAACCTCACAAGAAGAGAGAAAAACAGCCATTATGTGCCCCCTGATGGAAGTAGACGACAGTCCTTATGAGATACTCTTGCCAAGAAAAATCAAACTGAATCTGAGCAAGCCTCTATATCTAACAGTTAGCTTATGAGAATTAGAGGAGACGTTAAATGGCACCATGGATATCCAATCAGCAAAATCCAGAAAATGAGAAATTCTGCCAGGTTTCCAGAAATTAATTGTAACAAAGAAGAAGAAGAATCCTATAGATTAAAAGAAGTTTAAGGGACATAGCAACTAAATTCGATGTATGGATCTTTTTTGAATCCCAATTTGAGCAAGCCAACTGTAATAATCATTTCTGAGATAGTTGGGGGAAATTTGATTACTAAGATATTTTTATTAAGAAATTATTAATCATTGTTAATTTTAAGTATAATGACGATGTTATGTTTTTTTAAGAGTCCTTTTATTTTAAAAACAGATTGATTTATGAATGAAATGATATGATAAATGAGTTTTCTTCAAAATAGCCTCTGTGTTTATGTGGGATGAGGGGAAGAGAGAGAGAGGATAGATAAAGCAAGATTGGCCATGTGTAAATAAATGTTGAAGCTGGGTGGTGGATATGTAGTTTATTATACTATTCTGTCTACTTTTATATAGGTTTGAAAATTTCCATAATTCAAAGCTTAAAAAAAGTTTTCTCTTCCTTCCACCCACCATCTCCAAAGACTTCACTGAAAATGATTCTAGAAGATCTCTTGGGTCCTAGAAAGTTATTTTTAGGTGACGTTTCATTTTATTGAAGGTGCTATTCTGTTGGTTGTAGTTGGCTTTATACAACTGGGCTGTCCTGTCAGTGATGAGGGTCAGGTTTATCGTATGGTTACAGCATCACAGAAAGCGGTGTCCTGCTCAACCTCTGTTCTAAGTGGCTTCTCTTGTGTTCTACAGATGCTGCTAATGGAAACAGTAGCCATGGAGGGAAGAGCAGTACATCTAGCTCCACTCCAGCCCGCCCAGGGAATTACTCTTTGTCACCAAGACCTAGCTATGCATCAGGAGACCAAGGTACAATACCCATCTGAGAGTTTTGAAATAATGCAACTTAATTATGGAAGAAATGCTGCAGAGTTTGGAATGATGAATTATCTGACAGCACACTCTCAATTTTTCCTTAGCCTCTTATACAATGTTTTGAAAGTTTATGATTGGTGTGAACAGTAGTGATTAAATATCTTGGTGATTCCACAAGGATGAACCTATGTAGAAATTAATGTTCAAACAAATGTATAGGAAAGTGTCTCAAAAAACCATAGGCTCGGGGCCGGCTGCATGGCCAAGTGGTTAAGTTAGCACGCTCCGCTGCGGTGGCCCAGGGTTTGGATCCTGGGCGCGGACATGGCACTGCTCTCAGGCCACGTTGAGGCGGCACCCCACATGCCACAACTAGAAGGACCTGCAACTAAGATATACAACTATGTCCGGTGTGGGGGTGGGGGAGTGCGGTGGGGGTGCGCAGTGGGGGAGATAAAGCAGGAAAAAAAAAAAAAGAAAAGACAACGATTGGCAACAGTTGTTAGCTCAGGTTCCAATCTTTAAAAAAAGAAAAAAACCATAGGCTTCGCTGACCAAAGTACAGGGTTCAAAGTCCTTTCTGTTGTGAGACCCTGGGCAAATTTGAGCCTTCCTTTCACCATCTACAAAATAGGGATTACAATATACTTGTCCTGCGCCTTCACAGGGTTGTTGATAAAATCAAATAACATAATCTGGGTAAAATTGTAAATTGTAAAACAGCATACAGATGTTAAGTGGTAGTGTTAGTGTGGCTTTTTCTAATTTTATCTTTACCTCTAGAACAGTGACTTAGACTTTCTGAGTATAATCAAATTAAAGATCCTCTGTTACTTTGGCTTCTTTCCTTTCTTCCACTGCTGAACGAGGCTCATCTTTCTTTTTGCCTTCAGCTACCATGTTCATTTCTGGGCCACCAAAGAAACGACACCGGGGGTGGTATCCTGGGTCACCTGTCCCCCAACCTGGTTTAGTTGTACCTGTTCCTACAGTTCGCCCTCTTTCAAGAACTGGTAAGATTTCAACAGAAGATGAGTTTTAAGTTTTCTTTAATTAGCATCAGTATCTCCTCCTACTCTTGTTCTTTCCCTGAACATTTGAAGATAAATTTCCTTAACCAACCATTGTGTCCAGTATTATGTAAGGATATTGATAGTAGCTAATATTTGTCCCCATCAAGTCTGCCTTCCCTAAAAGCACATACATCAACACAATAAGTCTTAACTCTCCATCCGGCTTTGTTTTAGCCCATAGTATTGATAAGACATTCTTTACATAGGGTATTATGCTACCAACTCACCACCATAGACCACAAATGAACTTGCTTCACCAGTAGTGGTGTTAGATGTGTCCTCCTGTGATCTGGTCCCCTGTGTGACCCATACTTATTATTTCTGGCCTAGATGATTTAGTCTGTGACTAAAATCCTGAAAAACCAACTGGTTCTCCTTTATAATACCCAAGCTGTGGCCATTTGGTGCCTACAGTTAAATGTTCAAATGCTCATCTATCTTTCTGTACCAAGCACAGACAAACATAAATATATTAATTCTAAGACATAGATGGGGTTCTTTAAAAATTTGTTTGTTTAAATTTTAAAGACTACATGGAGATGATATCTACACAAAGAATTATGCCAATATGTTACTGTGGTCACCTCTAGGTAGTACTCACTAAAGAAGAGTTTATCCTTCTTCACACTTTTCTGTACTTTTCAAATTTTCTACAATGAGCAGATATGCTTTGATAATCTGGAGGGGAAAGATAAAATACAAAACAGAATCCAAAAGATTGCATGTAGAAAAACAATTTGAAGGAAAAACTACCACAGTGCTAAATAGTGCTTATCTCTAAATGATGTGATAATGGTTGATTTTTTTTCTTTTGTTTTTCTCACTTCTAATTTTATATAATAAACATGAATTACGTCAATAAAAAAATAAATCATTAGACTTCTAAAAGTTCTGTATTAAAAGTGTTAACGCTGCATTGATTTCAATTGTATTTCATTTAGCTTTCAGGTCTAATCCTTCTTGTCAAACAACTTTTTTTCCAGAGTCTCTTTTATCTGCCCCAGTTCCACAGACCCCATTAACTGGAATTTTACAACCTCGACCCATTCCTGCGGGGGAAACTGTAATTGTTCCTGAAAACCTGCTGAGTAACTCAGGAGTTAGACCAGTAATTCTGATAGGTAAGGCAAAGGAATTCCAAGTTGCCTGTGTCCACTGGAATCTAGAGGTGTTTCTCCATTTCCTTGTGTGTGTATTTACTCATGTGTTCATGAATGTATTCATTTATTCCTCTATTGATTCTTTCAGCTTTTATTGGTCAGCTCCTTCGTGCTATACTAAACGTGTGACTAGAAGTTGGGGATAAGGCAAAGTCTTTGTTCCCACAAGGAGCACTGTTTAGTAGGGGAGTCTGTCGTGTAAATAACAATCACAACACTCTGTGATACTGTGAACCTCTTAGCTGTAGAGGTTCACAGCCAAGAACTATAAGAACTCACAAGAGAGGGAGCTTAACTCTGCCTGAAAGGGGTCTGAGAAGACTTCTCAGAGGTGATGTTTCAGCTGGGTTCTGCAGGGTAGGCAGGAGTGGACAAGGTAGGGGAGAGGACATATCAGTCGAAGGGAGCCAAACCATAGAGAAAAGAAACAAGCTGAGCCAGCCACAGTCCCACTCAGGAGAACCAAGAGGTCCCACAGTTGCAGATCTAAACCATGGGGAAGCGTCTGTGAATCAGTATCTTTAAGGAGTTGGAATCTTTCCAAGCTGTTGGTAGAGGTGTAGAAATTTAGGGGTCCCTAGATTCCGGGACTAACTTAATGCCTTTCATACACACATCTAGAGTCCCCTCCTTTGGGAGCTAGCCTGGGCCAGAAGGAGACTGCATACTTCACCTTTGGGACTAAACAGATAGGATGTTGTAGCCCCACTAGGTCTTTACAGTATGTCTATGTGAGGTGTTATCTGCTTCTTCTGGTTGGCTTGAGCCTCCTGACACAGATAGTTTTGCTTCAAGCCCTGTCCTTTATCAGGCTGCCCTATCCACTGTTCCTGTACCTGTAGGCACTGGGAGAATATCAGTTATTTAAATTCCATACAGTCAGGAAGTTCTTCTTGAGCATTTGAGTCGCATGCTTAGTGCAACTGAGCCTTGGAAAGATACGTAGAACGTGGGGCCTTTAAGAAACTCACAGAGGGACTGTCTCTTGGTGAAGACCCCACCAAAACAGGGTATATTTTCAACATATTTTTGTCGTATCTACTTGTAAGATAATTTGAGGCTGTTTACTGACGTTTAGGAAGAGAATATAACAAAAATAACTAAGATAGCAAAAAGTGTAGGAACCTCCAAGGACCTGTTACTGGCAGAATGTTGCTGTTGATCAATGAGTTTAGCTTAAAGAAATTTTAAAGAAAATCTCAGGAACTAAAACATGTTATTGTAGTTTGTTTTCTGATTTCCCATCTAAAAAGAGACTTGATCAGGAATTTTATCAGAAAATATTTTATCATTGCAGTTTTACAGAGGATACCGAGATGTTTTGCAAACTCTCATCAATCCTCTATGGCAGAAATGTAATGTTAACATGTCCTGTCCGTGGGAAACGGGGACAAAATAATTTGAGTATTTTGCTTTCTGTTCATCTGGTTTAATTTAGGGGTAGAGTTTGGAGCATCCGAGTGAATTCCCTAGGATTGATATATTTGAGTGACTTGTTTGGTAGCCATCTCAGAGCACAGGAAACTTTGCTAAGCATCTTTGATCCTAGTTGAGAAGTGTACCTGGTGGCACCTCAAAAAGAAATATTGAACTTTATTGACCTGCTTCTATTGGGGCAGGCTATGGCACTTTACCCTATTTCTATGGAAATGTTGGTGACATTGTTGTGAGTCCTCTGCTGGTGAACTGCTACAAGATTCCACAGTTGGAAAACAAAGATTTGGAACAATTAGGGTTGACTGGCAGCCAACTCCTGAGCGTGGAAAACATGATTCTTCTGACGATACAGTATCTTGTGCGGCTGGGTAAGCTATTTTCAATAATCATTTGATGGTGATGATTTTTATTCTTTTTTGTAACATTTTTCCTTGCTTTCCTCACCTCTCACATTTATCTACCATCTCTTACTTTCCCTCTTCCACTTCTAACATTCTTTGCCTTCAACCCACTCTCTACGACTTTTCCTTTTCCTCTCCTCCATTTCTTTTCTATTCCTTTCTGCCACTTGCTTATTTCTTCCCCCCCCCACCCCGCCCCCCACCCCCACCCCAGTTTCTCTCAGATCCAGCCTCCCTTGCTCCTCACATTGCTTCTTTGGGTCCTAGAAGAGATAAATTGCCCCACCTAGTGTCCAGTCTCATGATGGTCCTAAGGTCTCCAAAGTAGTTGATGTAGGCAAAAGCTTAAAGGGCTGTGCCATGGGCACCCTCCCCAGGGGAGTCTCGCCAAGCCACTTTTCCGAAAGTGCAATGACCATCTGGAATGTGAATGTAGACATTGCCTTAGACAGTTATTTCCAGTTTTCCACTTAGCCTTTTTATCTGAGTTATCCATTGTCCCCACACCAATCTTTTTCTTCTCCAGCTACAGCTCTTTGATGTAGTCCCATCATGCTTTCCCTCACTGAGGTAGTAACTGTGGATTCCCTGGAAGGCTCTCTAGGCTGTTGGGTAAGGGGGACACATAGGTCATGAACTCTTGACTTCCTCTATTTGACTATCCTCCTGAGCCCACAGTGGGTGTATGCAGGTCCCTTGACAATACTGTAATGGTTCAGCAGCATTTACATTGCAATGTCCTTTATTTTGCAAACTGCAGTAGGCTGTGCAACCTAATTATACATTCACTCTAGGACTTCAAGCCGCTTATTAGGAAAATGTTCAAGATGTAAAATTACATGTCAAAAATATTATTTGCACTCTTGTGAATATTTTTAACGTTTGAAAATACTTTGGTGTTAAATAGTAAAAACACGGGGCTAAACAACATTCGAAAAAACTAAAAGTTTCATTCAGCAGGCCAGATCTAGTCTTTGGAACATCAGCTAGCAATGGTGGCTGTGACTCTCGGTGCCCTGGGAGCCCGAAAGTCCTGCTTTGACACGGGCTTTTGAAACTTGCAAGGCTTCAGATATCTCATGAGCCACTTTTATGATAAACCTAGGGCTTGCTGTTTATGCTTATTAGTGGGTAATAAACTTATAAAACCACCTGTGTCTGCAGCTCGTTTGATGTCGTAATTTTAATTGCTACATGCTGACTTGACTGTGTTCTAAGATCTAAAATCAGCTTCTAGAGGCATCCAGAATCAGTAAAACATAGAGTAATACTATTATAGCAAACCAAACCAATCAGTGTAGCATTTTTTTCAATCTTAATAACAATTTAAAATATCAAAGTCCAAGTTAACTAAGTGAACTGATTAAATGGTCAAAACAAAATGTCTTCCCTTAAATTACTAAAAGCTCTTATTTTAAAAAATAGGGGGCCAGCCTGGTGGCATAGTGGTTAAGTTCATGCACTCTGCTTTGGCGGCCCAGAGTTCACAGGTTCAGATCCCGGGCGCGGACCTAGCACTGCTCATCAAGCCATGCTGTGGCGGCGTCCCACATAAAATAGAGGCATATTGGCACCGATGTTAGCAACGATCTTCCTCAAGCAAAAGAGAGGAAGATTGGCAATAGATTTTAGCTCAGGGCCAATCTTACTCACACAAAAAAGAAAGAAAAATCTCTAATTAGACAAAACTCTTCTCTGCTTTACTGGACCAGTTCCCTCCAGAGTTTTACTTGCAACCAATTAATTATGTCTCTCAATGTACAATGTTTTAATCTAAATTTTGTATGTTGTGATATCTCTTTTCTTCAACAACTAGCTCTTTTGGAGTCCGTTAAATTTTTTTTTTGCCTTCAGAGGTTTTGAAGAAGGCCAGCGAGAATATTTTCACATATGCCATAGATTATAGATAAACATTGAAAAAAATAAATCCAAACTTCCAGAAGGACAGGTCTAATACTTGGCTGGCTCAGTCTCCTGGAGGTAACAGAAGGAGAAGAGCAAGACTAGTCAGAAGAAACAGGCCTTTCCACTACAGTCACTTTTTTAAAAAAATAAATTTCTGTTATTTCACAATCTGAAAATCTTTTGAAGTAGATAATGAAATCAGCAAATCCAGAGATTCTTGGAGGGCTCTGAGTTTGTTGAAACCTTGTCTTTTCCTATTAAGGGAGCTCTATCTGAAAAGCCATCAGAACTGCTGCCTGGGCTAAACTGAGTTACTGGAGATCAGCACTTGAAGGAACAAAAATTACTATCATCAAGCTTGCGAAAAATGGAGAAAAGGCTCCTGCAATTTAGCTATAAAGGCTGAGGATGAAGAAATGATGGGAGGTGATTTAAAGCAAGGCGTTTTACTCTGAGAAGTCTCTATCCTCATTTAAACTTTGATCCATTTTCCTTCACCTCTCAATTTCCAACAGTAATTCAGTTAAAACTCTATAAAACTAAGTTTTAAGGCAATGGAGAATGAATGTGTTTGATCATTTTATTTTCCCAGAATGCCTTTATATTTGGAATTAATGCTGCCTAATAGAACGTGTTACGTGGTCGTGGATTGGAGTGGGTCTTACGGACACACCTATTAACCAGGCCTCTGAGCCTTAGGTCGTCTGTGAGAGGCAGGAGGGAACTGCAGACAGTCAGAGCCACACGCTTTTGAGCTGTCGTTTGTTCTGATGGAAGAAAGTGTTAAATAGATGACCACCTTCCCTTCACCTCAGACAGTCAGTACAAATCTATCCACTTTGACATTGCTTCTAAGTGTGTACCTAGTGACCACTAAGCATGATGCTAATTTGAGAAAGCTGAATGAAAATCAGAAGCTTTGACAGCTCCCGGGTGATAGGAAGGCACCCACCTCCCCCTGGCAGATAATTGAGGAGGACACGTGAGACATAAACACAATGTAAGCATGGCCTTTTCCTTGCCCTCTTTCCATGTACAAAAGAGAAAACTGTCTGTGAGGATTTCACTCTCCTACGTCCCTCTGACCTATAACCAATCCGGGAAAAACTGTTTTCTCCAAATACAATAGTTTATTTTTGAAATGTATAATATTTTATCCGATATTCCTTATCCTAAAACATTACTAATCTTTCATTTTCTTACTTTCCCAGAGAAGATGGGCAGGGGTCAGGGAGGCCACTTCGATCCCTGTTGGAGGAAGGAAAGATTTCTGACTCAGTCGAGGTGCCTCCTTCTCATACACAAGCAGAGTCCCTCATCCCTGTGTTCTTCTGCAAGGGGCTGTTAGCCCTGGGTTCTGAGGCTATTGCTTGACCTCAGATCACAGACACTGAGGGGCCTGCATCTGTTTACGGGAGGCTGAGTTTCAAATCTCAAGCCCACACAGCAAAAGAAATGACTGAATGATGGGAGTGAACATAGTCTCCCTGGTTTCTATTTAAACGAAACGTAAGAATCCATTTCCGTCACTTAGATACCACACATCGACTTACTTATTTTGTCCTAAAGGCTGGTTAAGTTTCTAAAGAGAATAAGAGAAACAAAATCCCCCTAATTCCCAGGGCCGCAGGTCACCTGTATAAACTTAGCCATAACCACAGCTGGTGGAGATGACTGAATGCCACACTTAACAACCCAGAATGCTGGAGAATAACTAGGCCATGAGAGCATTCCCTGTCTGGGAAGGTTTGACGCTGCCTGAATATAAATTGGGAGTGAAAAACAATTAAACCTAATTTTCCTGTGGACGGTATTCTCAAAATTAGGTATAGACGCAATAAATTAAAATGTGTTTCAAAGTACCAATGAATAAAATGAGAAATGAGTGAAACCTTAAGTTGATTGTACACCAACAGGTTAGCTTCTTACTTCATTAGTCGTTAACCGTTTCCATGATGCCAAGTTTATAGGTCAGGAAATATGGCACCTTCAGTGACCACCTCCCAAGGCAGACAGTGGAATTGATACTGTCTCTCAGGACTTCCTCTTTTAAGCATATCAAGGTTAGAATGAAGGGAAACAGAAGCCTGCATTTAAAAAAAAACATTGAGGCAGAGAGGGAAGAGAGAAGGTCACTTCACAGTGGGAAATGGTTAGTAGGGGCTCTATAATTGGGGCCCCTACAGAACAAAAGAGCTTATTATTTGCCACTTGGGGGATAGTGGGCTTAGAAGGACGGCACACTGATGTGTGTGTGTGTCTCCTTTCTAGCTGTGATTTTTTTAAAACTCTAGCTGTAATTCTCTTCAATTTAGGTCCTGATCAGATACCTCTCAGAGAAGAATTTGAGCGAATTATGCTGAAAGCTATGCAGGAATTTACTCTGAGAGAGCGAGCCCTACAGATGGGCGCTCAGTGCACACCTGTGTCACCAGGACAACTCCCCTGGCTTGCTAGATTAATTGCCAGCGTATCCCAAGACTTGGTTCACGTGATTGTGACCCAGAACTCTTTGGCAGAGGGCATTTCGGAGACATTGAGGACTCTCAGTGAAATGAGACACTATCAAAGGCTACCAGATTATGTTGTGGCAATTTGTGCATCAAAAATCAGAGGAAATGAATTTTGTGTGGTAGTATTAGGTGAGTAATGCTATCTGTTGTGTTCTTTTTAATCCATTCCTCCAATCATCTGTCCATTTGAAAACTATTTGAGTGTTTCAGGTGTCCATGTAGTTAATCTCTGGTAAGTGCTCCAACTTGGATTTTTCCTCCTAATTTTAACTTTACCTTTCCTCCTCAGATCAGAATTTTGTACCCCTTAGTTTGGCTGGTGTCCCTGTCAGCTGGTTGTGGGAGCATTATTTCAAAGCATACCCTAGTAACAGATACCCTTGTCTCACGTAACTTCTGTCCTTAAAAGGTTTTGGAAATGTTGCCACATTAACATGTGATAAAGCCATTGCCACAGGTGGCCTAAGCCAGTTAATCAAACTTGCCAGGAACATCACTCATGTATTCACCTCCTCACTGAAGAGGATATTTAATGTTACAACATTGACTCTAAAGAAAAGGTTTAGAAAGCTGGTACATTACAAAATTTATTTTTGTTTCTGGTGCTGATTTTCTATCGGGCACCATCCTGAGTAGCCATTGGGACTACGTTTTGCTTTTCTTCTCTCTAGTAAATAGCTCTCACCTCTTCCTAGCAAAGAGGCCAGATCCTCTCACATTAGCAAAACCTGCCTGTCCATCTCTCTATGATAAGTATCTCTTTCAGAAAGCTTCATCAGAAAGTGTAATAATCAATTTTTTTCATTTTAGTTTGTAAAAACAACAATATGTTTATATTTTTAAGATAGATATTCATAATAACCATGAAAACACAATTTTTAAAGGTTTTTCACATTCTTCTCTAGTCTTTAAGCACGTGCATGGTGTGTTTTTACAGTTACAAACAAGAAGCTATGTCATTTTTTCCCTTGATTACCTAACATTATATTATAAACATTTTCTGTTTAAAATTGTCATTTCAAATTCTGTGTAATTGTCCACCTTTTGATGTGCCATAATTCTCTTAACCAAGTCACTATAGTTAGATACTTCAGTTGTGTCCAGTGTTTGTGATGATAAATCAGATACCGGTGGACATTTGTTCTCTGGTACATCATCTCTTCCTCTGTTCTGCAGGTCAGCATCAGTCCAGGGCTCTGGCGGAGAGCATGCTCACCACAAGTGAGTTTCTGAAAGAAATCAGTTATGAGCTCATTACAGGAAAGGTCAGTTTCCTGGCGTCGCATTTCAAAACCACATCATTAGGTGAGTGGTTGTGGGATTCAGCCACACTGCCAGCCCCAAGCTACGTGATTTTCTGAGTTTAAATCTTAGCCTGTCAAGGAGATGAGAGTGACGCTTAAGCTTGCTGGCGACGTTCCTTCATTTGGAATGATTTATCCTGAGTATTTTGTTACTGACACAGCAGGGGGGTCCAGAGGACAGTGCACAGGCACTAGGGTGGGAGACCACAGCTCAGCCACTACTTTGTTCTGTCCTCTTGGGTGAGACTCTGTCTCTCCAGATCTCAGTTTTATAATATGTCAAATGGAGATAAGACAGTCCCATTCTGCCCACTGTGAGTATTATGGAGGCCAAGAGAGACACGGATGTGAAAGCATGTCAGTTATAAGCACTATACAAACGAGGGTAGTCTGGCTATGGAGACACTGCTATAGGGATGGCCAAGTGTAAACTTGGACATGAAAAGCTGGTTGACCAACAAATCGTGATGAAAAGCCAGCTCAACTGCCCAACTTGGAGACTGATACAAACATTTCATTCCTTGTAATCTTCTCATCTCTGCTTTATTGGTAATAGGCGATGACCTGGACAAGCTGCTGGAAAAAATGCAACAAAGAAGAGGAGACAGTGTCGTTACCCCTTTCGATGGAGACCTTAATGAATGCGTGTCAGTTCAGGAGGCTGCCGCCATGATTCCCACGCAAAACCTGGGTAATGTCGCCTCAGACCACAAATTGGAACTCAGCCCTTAGGACAGACATTATAGAAGCTAAGTCATCCTGAGGTTTTGAGGGCTCTTCTTCAAGTTACAGACTATGACAGGCTTTCCCTCATTATCTACATGATAAATCTGGCTCAGATTAAAAATGTCGTACCATCTGGCCTGGATCAAAGGCCTTGTTCTTAGTAAATGTCTCCTAGAATTAAAATCAAAGTCAAAGACTTTATTTTAAGCAGTCTCTCTCTCATTTTTTTTTTCCTTGAAAGATTCTAGGGTCCTTGGTGTGCTTTCCTTAGCTCCACCAGCTGTGCCCAGAGAGCTGTCAGTGCTTGCTGAGGGCTTCAAAGAGTTGCTTAGAAGAGTCTAGACTGCAGCTGTGCAGGGCTCCTGGCTCTCCACTCCCTTCATTTGCTCTCTGACGTGTAAAACACACCTCATCTCAGGGATAGCGAGGCCTTCCTGGCAGATAGAGTAACGATACCCATACATTATCTGCCCTAAAACAAGCTTTCAAGACACGAAGGGGGATGGTGGGACGAGGGGTGAGGAGTTCAATCATTAGATTGGATTCCTTTGGGTTCAGGTTTCTTCCTCAATTCCCTATTTGATAGGGACAACATAGGAAAGGACAGAAAAAAGAACAGGAGAAAGATAGATATGAAACAGATCGGTGTAAGCTGCTGCTGAAAGCCTTTTGGCCTCTGCTTGGTAGGAATGTATCATTTATATATAAATATTGCCTCAGCAATAAAAGTGGCATGGCTTGGCACCAGCTCAGTTATAAAACAAATTCAAATACGAGCAATAAAATTTTTTGACTTCTAGATGTTATTTGATAAGAAAGTGATCATCTAGATGACCTAAAATGTGTTTATACTATTTTGAATTATGAACAAAGTTAGAATTTAAAAATATTCAGAGTACTTACAGATCCCATATACATATCCTTGATTCCCTGTTTATGAAACATTACTTAAAGATATTTTTAGGTTTTCTCAAACTTCAAAATTTGCTAAATTCTACAAAGTTATTCCATCATCTATGTCAGTCTCCACCTGTGTAATCTGTGAAATGAAATAACAACCTATCAGAAGACAGATTTATTTTGATTGGTAATCTTTGTGGGTCAAATTATTTGGGCTACTATTAAAAGTTGTGTAACTGAACGCAGTGGCTTCGTCTCTTGGTGAGTGCAGACCCAAAAAGCAGAAGTAGGTGAAGAAAGGTTTATTACGTGCACAAGCAGTGGAGGATACTGGAGATAGCTTCCAATGCAGTGCTTCCCCAAACAAGAGTTTGAAAGGTCCTTTTATTATTAGTTCAGAGTAGAGTTCATGAATATTCAGTTAAGGAAAAGGTGACAGACTGGGGTTTATTGCCTAACAGCCATGTTCTTTTAAGACACATGTGTAGCACGTGCACATGCTACTACATATGTGACATGATCTAAAAATGGCTGCTTTGCCCCTCCCACAGGAGGAGAATTTAAGATGTTAATGAAATTACAATGGAAACAATTCACTTTATTTTAGAGCAGTTTGAGGCAGCTAGATCCGGCTTCAGCTGGCTTGCTTGTGGGAACCTTCTGTGGTTAGGCTCTTCCTGAAACTTTGTCTGCAAAACACTCAACAGATGATGTTAGTTTTCATCAAATCATGAGTACCCCTTTCTTTGCCTGGCTCCTTGGTTACAGTAGCAGCTTTGGGCTTTTCTCGTGGGTTCTCTCAGCCAATAGGGAGACCCACCTGTATAAATCCCCACTCACTGTCAGGGTTCCATGGTGGCTGGCTTATCATGACTATGTCTTTGCCTTGACTGCATTGCAGTTTGATTTTAGAAAACATTAATTAGCACATGTTAATGGGGTCCTCATGTGTTCTAGTCAAACTTCTACACGTGTTCCTGATAAAAAGCAGCCCTTTAAAGAAGTATTAAATGTTGCCTGCTCAGGTATTTAGCTGGCTAATCCTGTCTCTTCCGTTGTTTGTGTGTGTGTGCGCTTGCACATATAAGAGAGATTGATTGCTTGGTTATAACTTGTAATAAAAAGCTACTGGCATGCTTAGAGTAAGTACTGGGCAATGTTTCTCTAATACGTCACCTACTGAGTGGCCAGCTGGCCATGTCATGAGCCAGGTCTCTTCAGATAGTACAGGCGTCAGCACTGGAGTTGACCTCAACCACCTAGACCTGCCAGGTCACAAGCACTGGCAAAGTCAAGTGGGAAGAAAGGTGAAGGCAGTGTCTCTGTGACCTCCATTATGCAGTCAAAGGGAAGGGAATTTAAAGTCATGTTGCAACTGACTTGCTGGAGAGGAAATGTTTATTGTGGTGCCATCTAGAAAGGTTCAAAGGAACTCAGCATTATTATGTTTACAGCATCGCCTCCTTCCCTGAACTGGGTCTGGGCTCGGGCACTCGACCTGTGCTGATAGTCCTAAAGAAAACTGGAAACTCTTTCTTCCCCTTTCCAGAGATGAGTCCTGGCTTCAGCTGCAAGGGTGTGGTCTGTCCCTGCCATTTCTGGGCAGGCGAGGGGTGTGGAATTTGTGATTTGTGAAACAATCAATTGATTTAAAATAATACATTTGTAAAATTACCACATCCACTCTTGAGCACATCCTTTCAGCCAAGAGTTCAGGAAAACAGGCCAACCTATTAAAACTCAAAAGAGAGTGAAAATAGGAAGTGAGAATTCTTGCGGCCAGAGCATTATTTTACCGTGTGCGTTATATGTCCCCTCATGGATTCATAGTGGCCATCACGGAAGTGAATTAATCTTGTTCTTATGACTTTTTTTATTTTAGATTTAGATAATGAAACCTTCCAAATTTATCAACCACAGCTAACAGTTGCCAGAAAACTCTTATCCCAGGTGTGTGCTATAGCAGACAGCGGCAGCCAGAGCCTGGACCTTGGCCACTTCAGCAAAGTGGACTTCATCATCATAGTCCCAAGATCAGAGGTTCTGGTCCAGCAAACTCTGCAACGGATTCGACAATCGGGTAAGATTGAACTTTCAAAGAGGACCCTACCTAGATCCAGCCTTAGATTCCTTCTGCCTCTTTCTTTTTCTTAATCCAAATGTTTATAGGACACTTTTTTGCAGTAATAAAAATCATAAGAGCATTTTAAATGTTACTTCAAATATGTGTAAGTTTTCCCTCAAAGTACTCTGACCTTTTTCCCTCCTGGGTCAAGAGTCAGTTCATATGCATGCTTGCCTTATACTGTTAAGTCTATGACATAATCGGTGGACTAGAAGCTGGTCACTCATTTATGAAGAGAAATTTTCTCACGGCAAGGATAGCCTTGCATGGGGTGATGGGGTCTATGCCACCTGAACTCCTTCCATGGCTCGGATGTGTCACATTCTTGTGGGTGGCTTCTTAGACATTTAGCACACCACCAGCACATTTTCAACCTAGAAATCAGAACGAGATCCTCCAAGTCAATAATGATAATGCCTCATTAAAAAATACAAAGTTAGAACTTCTCCTAATGGCTTTAAGAGAATGAATATGGAGGAAAAAATAATTTTCTGAGAAAATATAAAAAGGTTGGGAGCAAAAATTTTAGAAGTCTGTGGTAAATAATCCCTTCAAACATAAAATTTTCTTAAAATTAGAAGCAGTAAGGAATTTAGAAAATTGGGACTGCTGAAAATTGCTTGCCTTTTGTAAACTAGATTTGAACAGGAAATTGTAAATGTCAAGTTGTTTCTGAGTACCTTAGCTGGGAGAAACACACATGCAAACACACGTATACACACAGATTTTAGCTGGAGGATGAATCCTTTTGCCACAGTAAAAATTTTTATTTTCAATATATTTAAAAACAAATAGAAAGCAGAAAAATTCAAAAGAGCTTTAAATGCAGTTTATATGTTCCATGCCTATCATACAGTGCTCCTTCAACTTTAGCATACATACAGATCACCTGGAGATCTTGTTAAAATGCAAATTCCTCTTTAGTGGGTCTCGGTGAGCTCCACATTCTGCGTTTCTTTTTTTTTTAATTGAGGTATAATTGACATACAACATTATAGTGGTTTCAGGTGTACAACATAATGATTCAATATCTGTATGTATTGCAAAATGATCACCACAATAAGTCTAGTTAACACCCATCACCATACACAGTTACAGAATTTTTTTTCTTGTGATGAGGACTTTTAAGATCTACTCTCTTAGTAACTTTTGAATATGCAGTGCAGTATTATTAACTATAGTCACCATGCTGTACAGGACATCCTCATGGGTTATTTTATAGCTGGAAGTTTGTACCTTTTGACCCCCTTCACCAACCACCCACCACCCACCACCAATCTGTTCTCTGTATCTGTGAGTTTGGTTGGTTGGTTGGTTGGTTTTGTTTCTTAGATTCCCTGTATAAGTGAGATAATACAGTAGTTGTCTTTCTCTGTCTGACTTATTTCAGATTCTGCATTTCTAACAAGCTCCCAGGGCATGCTAGTGCTGCTGGTTAGAGGACCATACTTTGAGTAGCTCAGCTATCTGGGAAATCTTTCACTGTTAGTTCCGTGAGCCAAATGAGCTAACAATAGATATTTCCCCCCTTTAACATCTCTTAGTGGCTGTGACTGACACTTGTAAAGCCTTCTGGGGGCCCAAGCGCCTGGTTAACAGTGCAATCGTCTTTTTGGCCTCTAAAATTCTGAGTGACAAGTTCCAAAATGACCTGTTGGAAATACTGAGTTATAGGTGATTAGCTAGAGAGGGTCAAATGCCTTCTCTCTTAGCTTTCCCAGAAACCAGAGTGAGTTCTAGGCTCCCTCAGCTGCTGGCCATTTCTGCATTTTCTTTCTGCCCCTCTCCATTGTGGGAAATGGATGGGCTTCAGTTGCCACAAGTATTAACAAGATTTTTTATTTCTTATGGGTTTTCCACTTTCATACCGTGGAGGGAGTGCCTTCTGTTATAGGTGTTTTACTTGTACCAATTGGCATTCGTGGCCTTCCTGAGTCTGTGATCTGATATCCCAAATCGAGCTTGAGCAAACACATCATAGCACCTGTTTCAAGTGGTGAAATCATCCATGGTCAGCGGTTATGCAGAGCCTTTTCCTGAAATAACCTCTTGATGACCTCTTCTTTCACCTTTCTTAATAAATATAAGACCCTAAATAAAACCTTGCATTTTTGATAAATGAAAAAATTTGTATAGGTCCTTCATTTTCCCATCTCAACAGCCTCAGATTTTTCCACAGGGAGTATCTTAAGATTATCACTCCTCAGAAAGGTACCAGAATTTGACATAAGGTTGGAATCCAAAAAAATCAATGTTATGAGCAGATTTGGAAATTCAAGGCGAAGCATATTTTAAACATTATTCACATCTGGCTTTGGCATACGCATTGAAGTTTTGCGGCAAAAACAATCACTTCTGTATATTTAAAAATAATTGTATTCATTTTCATTATAGAAAAAGCATAGTTATGGTATTCTTTATTTTAAAAAATAAAAGAAAGTAGGAAAATTTAAACATTTATAATCCCACCCTTCAAGGATAACCACTGTTAAAATCTGGGTGTTAACAAATGACTTAATACCTAGTGTTCCGGTCTCTGTTTTCTCCCTGTGCCTGTTTTTTTCACTTGAAATTATAGTGTGCACTTTTTCCAAGTCATTAAAGCCTGTAAGCATCGTTCTTAATGAATGTATAGTATTCCACATCATAACGACACCAAAATTTATTTGTTTTGACATTTAAATACTTCATATTCTTGGAACACATAACAATTGATAATAGAACAGGAAAGACCATGTTAAAGTGTAAAGAGAAAGTGTCCAGAGCAGAGTAAATAGCAGGAGATTATCCACTAAAAGAAATCTTAACAATCATAGCTTTGAAAACAGAAAGGATTCTCAAGAAATCATCTGATTCAATTTCCTCATATTTCACCATGTGAATCAAGGAGAGCTTCATTGGCCTAAGGTCACAGAGGGTAGTACCTTGTGGACGAGGGCCATGTTTTCCTCTCTGTGTGCCTAGCGCCTCATTTGGTGCCCTTCTCAGGCCTGGCACCAGTAAGTGCTCAACTACTGTTTGAACAGAGGGCTGGAGGGAGGGAAGGGACAGACAGAGGGAGAAACAGTGTCCAAGTGCTCTGCTTTCTGGTGCCATTTGCCTTTCCCTAAAGGAAGCATTTCAGGAGCCAGCCTCCCAGGAAAAGCCCCAGGCAGGGAGACACGGCCAGGGCATGCAGAAAGGGCACATCCTTGGCAGCCCACACGTGGCTGAAAGAAAAAAGTGAAAATAGAAACCATCATGTTGTTGCAGACCCAGCACAAAGGCAAAGCATTTGATACCTCAACTCACATTCTAATTAAGGAAGAGAGGCAGGGAGGAAAAGAAAACATCACGGAAAGAATTTGAAGGTGAAAAAAGAAATGAAATGGGTTAAACAGTTTTAAGTTTGCCCCAGATGGGCTTGTAACTTGATCAGTGGAGAAGCAGCATAAAGAATTTTTAGACCACAGGAAATACTTTTGTTTTAGCGTCATTTAAAAAAATATGACATTGTGGCATAATTGTTCCAATTCAGGAGACCTCAAATTCTGTAAATTAGAATCCTAGAGTATCGGTGTAATCAAAATGCAAGCTACTTTCAATTCAAGGTAGGTGGGATGAAAACAAGAAGTATTTGTGACTGCTCATATTTTCCTGCTTTTCGAATGGTGTCTGTGGGAGCCCCAGTGAACGGGAGCAGATCTGGCAGTATCCAGTCAAGGAAATTTTATCATGCTCAGTGGAATGACACAAATGTGATGCCTCCACACATGCCTGATTATAAAAGAAACAGAAGTTTTCATCTGGTAATATGTAGATAGGTTATTCTATTTAAATGGACATAAGGAAATTTTAAGGAGGTGGTAGAGATTAGGAGGGGAAGTGAAGAGCGGAGGAAGCCATTTTCACTTTCTAAAATATATTTTCTTGGTCTCATCAACCTTATACCTCCTTGTCAGTCACCTAAAACTTAAGCAGAAAAAACAGTATTTATTGGGCAGTGACAAAGGCAGCAAGGAATGGGGTTCCAGGGAAGAAAGTAGTTCTAGGAAACCATTCTGTCCTGAGGTAGAATAGGGAAACGCCAGAGATTCCTTTGTACAAATATAACAAATACCTAAAGTTAGCATTCTTAAAGTCAATTTCCAACTACGGAGTTAGCTGCCCAGTGCCCACCCCTGGTTTATAAATGTTGGCACCTGGCTCACAGTCTTTGCCTCCCAACACGCCATCATCCAGAGGTACTTCGTATCCAGGTGGAGGACCCAGCCAATATCCTAGTTTCTCAGTACCTTAAGCTGCTCATCATCAAACACCTTTACCCCTGCTCCTTCACAACCACCTGCTCCCCAGTCATATCCCAGACTCTGCTGGATCCTGGAATCATCTCCAGATATCCCCAGTGTCAGACCATAGTTTCCTCTCCTATATACTCACAGTGTTGGACACTGTGGGGAAAAAAATCAATCTTTCCAATTGATGCAATCATATATTCTTTTTTGGTTCTTTAGTTGGACCTCTCTCCCATTCTCCATAGTGGCTGACTACTACAGACTCTATTTCACTCAAATTTCTGACCTCATCTTTCTCTCTTAGCAAATGACCGTGCCACCTACTTCTCCCTTCCTCTGCCCCCAAAAGAAGAAAACTTCAGATAAAAACATCTTGATTCCAAATCTAGAAACCTAAGTGTACGCACACCTCTCTCTTCGCCTTCCCTCCTGATCAGTGACAGAGCTGCCCTCCTCTATTTAAGCCCATTCTCCCCCCTTGCTCCAGGTGCCATCCTCTCCTCATTCTCCTGGACCTCACACTATTGATTATCTCTTCTCTCATTGCCACTTTCAACTTCTTTCTCTCCTGGGGCTCATTCCATCCATTTAAACCTGCCTCACTCTCTCAAAGACAAAATAAGCCTCTGTTAATCTTACGTAACCCTCCTCTGCATCCTCCTCTAGCTAACTGCCAAGCAG